CGGAAAAAATTTAAGTACCGTGGAAAACAAACGAGGTATGGAAAACCTCGAGCGTGGTCTATCCCAATTACTTCGAACGGATCGATCCCGATCACTGACTTCTTTTTCCCTCTGTTCGCCACCTATGTAGCAGGTACGTCTTCTCCTTTCGGGAACGAAAGCTTCGGAACAAATGAAACCCTCCGTCTCGTTACGGCCGCTAGCTTCGAGAACGAATTTATCGTCGAAATTCAGGTCAAAGGTCCATCGGGGAAAAATTGAACTCTATCGAATTAGAGAGGGGTGGGGAAGACGACGACGACGACGACGACGACGACGACCAGCAGGGTCGCGATAAGAACGTTGGCGTGCTTCCGCTCGCTTCCTAATGACAGAGGCGAACGGCTTTCGACGGAATTGATATTTTTATTCAATTTTCCAGTACACGGATCGTCCCGGCCGAGTGAAAAAATACAAATATCGAAAAGCCCGTTAAACCGTAATATTTCGCGTATTTCGTCGAGTCCCTCGGAGATAATCGTCGAGCAGTTACCGCGCGTCAAAGTTCTTTTACCAAATCGATCCGTTGTTCTCGGTAGGGGTTAAATGGAGAAGAGCTCGTGGGAAAGCCGTAGAAATATACGTACGTAGATTACGAGACAGGGGCCGGCGGGATCGCGTCGCGGCGCGTAAGGCGTTAGGCGTAAGCGGCGTCGAAAGCGTGGAATAAAGGGCGGACAAGGTGAAGAGGCGCGCGAACGCGTGAAAGTGACAGCGGATTATCCGGCGTTTCGGCTTCAGCGCCGGCGAACGAATTCTCGCAACGCGGGTCTACGGTGAACGGTGATACACCGGTAATCTCGCATCGATCTCCGCGGGAAACCGGCCTATAATTCAGCGGCCGAAATCGCGCAGTCAGCCCTAACGCGATACAACCTCGAGGGCCCCTAGCATCGAATAACGCGGTTCCCGTTCCCCGTTCCCCGTTCCCGAATACCCGGCCGCGCAAAATCCGCGCATGTAGCGTTTATATTTTCCCAGGGCGCGGATTCCGAACCGCGTTCATAATTCCGATTTGTTTCCGTCGCGCGTTCTCAAATTATTTACCGTTCGCATTGGGATATTATTGTATTTCGCGGGTAAATTGCCCGCCGCGGGAGCACCGTTCGAGAGGAATATCGAGGCTGCTCGAGGGTCCTCTCGCGCACACCCCCTATCTCGCTCTCCCTTTCTCCGTCGCGGGCCAATGGCGGATCGAGAACGCCTCGTCGAATCGTCGAACGCACCTCCGACTCGACGTACACTTCCCGAACATCAATTACGGAAATTCAACGCGGCTGCTGCCGGGTACTCGTCCCATCGATCCTGCCACTCGATTGTTCCCTGCTCCGCCGAGCGGTTTCGCGAACCCTGGCTAACCCTGGTTGGGCCGATTCTGGTTCGTTTCGTCATCGATGCCGTTCGATTCGATTTTCCGAAACCGATTCCGATTACGATTCCTACTCCGACTCCGACTCCGATTCCTTCTTCGCGCATACGCGTTACAACGAATTTAACGACGAAACTATCGAGCTCCGAACGCGACGCGTATTCCCCTACATTCTATGGTAACGACAGAACTCGATTCGTCGCAACTCCGTACCGACGAAGAAACAAGTTCGTCGAAGAATTTCTTGTAGGACGATTCTTGTAATCTCGACGACCGCGACACAGTCCGTGCAGGAGAAACGCGGAATAAGAGATTCGATAACTCGAGATCGAATCCGAGCGCGACGCGTACAGCGTAACGATCGGCGTGGGCGGATTTTCACGGGGGAAGAAAGATTGCCGGAAGCGTGATCCGCGCCGCGGTGTCCCGGCACCGAGCATAACCCGAAGTCGATCATAGGCAATCGGAAGGAGCGCTTATCGAGGCGAATCGAAACAGGCTACTTCTCGTTCGACAACACGCGGGCATTTCCGAACGAATCGAGCCCGTTTGGCTCGGGGATCGTGGCTCGCGTTACAGTTTTAAGAGATGAGAGAGAAAGAGAGAGAGAGAGAGAGAGAGAGAGAGAGAGAGAGACGCGGCCCAGGTCGAAGGTGCAGTTTACGGTGCACGGCTCCGCGCGCCCTCGCATCGCCATCGCGCACGCACTTGCAGGCAAATGAGATGGTTCTACGCCGGGGAGATCCGCTATCGCCTTTCCTCGTCCTAATTACGCCCACTCTCGCGCGCTAATTTCGTTAGACGCGAACGATGGTTCGAAGCTCCGCCCGTTTCGTCTCGCGGTTTCTCGCAAGTCCCATTTGCTCGAAAGAAACGCGAGACTCTGGATCTCGCCGCCCGCCGACTTCTCCGACCATTATAACGCGCCAAAGTACTCCGACAAAATCGCCGGACGCGCGTCAAAATACCGCCTTCGCCGAAAACGTTCCACTCCGACGTCTCGCTGTTCCCTGGAAATTGCTTTCACGGTGTTCGAGGCCGGGAAGAGTCGAGCGAATATCGCCGAAAATACGCCCGAAGAAAAGGTCGACGGGTGCGAATAACGTTCGTTCGAAACGGAAATAAATGTTAGAAATGGAACGAAAGCGAATCAAATTATGAAAATTGCTGCGCGATTGGAACGGCGGCTTGTCGCGGGCGGCGCGACGCGTCGCAGCGTTCGGTCGCGCTTTGCTCGCGCCAGCGGTGGCTTTAAATAATCGCGAAATTATTTGGCCGATCGATCGTCGGATCCCAGAAAGTTGTCGCCGCCCGGTCCGCGCCGCGATTCGGGTCGCTCGAGCTACGACGTTTCTCCGGCCCGTCGCCGCCCCCTTTCTCGATACCAGTGTTCGAATTTATTCGAACGCGAGGGGGCCCTCCGGCTCGTCGCAACGGATGCGCGTTCCGAAGTCGACGAAACGTCTGTAATTTCCGGCCACTATCGATCCTCGCGCTTCTCCCGACGACGATAGGGTTCGGAAGAACGCCAGACTCGGGGATCCCGTATTCGACCGCGAAATTTCATGCGGTCGTTCGACGACGGAAAATTGGATCGCCGTTACGGGACTTTGCGACTACATCGTTAAAATCGATTGTTCGCGACTCGAGGACTCGAGGACTCGAGGCCCGGTCTCGTTTCAATTTCTTCGACCGCGCGCGACTCGTCGCGATTCTCTCCGTTGTCGTTTTTCCGCAGGGCCGCGCGTGCTCGACGAAAAACGTCGACTCCTCTCTTTCGATCCATCGAACGTCCAACGTTCCAATCGACCAGAATACATTTTCAAACGATTCCCGAAATGAAATTAGTTTTCGTCGCGGTAATTCTACGATCCGAATCGATCGTCCGTCGATCGGGGCGGATAGATCCGACGGATCGCGTTCGACCGGGGTATCGGGAGAGATCGAATATTTCGATCGAGAAGAGCGATCGTTCGGGGGCACGGGGACCGATTATCGGCTGTCGAGCGACGCGACGACGAGAGGATTCCGCGGCGGAAACGGGCTGTCTGCGCGCGAGAGGATTCGAGCCGAGCCGAGGCGAGGTGTCCAATTATCAAGGAATTAGTTACAGTCAACGTTGGCGCGCAATTTGACGGTGATTGTCATAGCCGTGGCCGTAGCCGTGGCTCGTCTCTCGGCTCTCGGCTTCGCTCGATCGTCGGTCGAGCGAGAACGCGCGCGCGTGCAATCTGCAACCTACAACCTGCGACTCGACTCGCTTTCCGACGGTGACGCGTTGCATGCGCGCCGCATATAGATGCGCGCGTTAAGCCGACTGCCGACCGAACTGCCGATAGAACTTGTCCAAGTTGCAGCGAGCGGTGTGTTGCGCTCTCCTTACGTGTACCGGCTGCTCGAATTTCGCATTGGATTCAGCGGAATAGTTGCCGCGAGGAAGTTTCCAGTCGATCCCGTATACCCGCGTCGGATCAACGCCGCTGCTCCGTCCGGAATTTCGCAACTACGCTTTCGCCCCCGGGAGAACGCGAGACGCTGCGCCGATACCGAGCGACGTTTTCCGCAGTGCAGAACNCTCGCGTTACAGTTTTAAGAGAAGAGAGAGAGAGAGAGAGAGAGAGAGAGAGAGAGAGAGAGAGACGCGGCCCAGGTCGAAGGTGCAGTTTACGGTGCACGGCTCCGCGCGCCCTCGCATCGCCATCGCGCACGCACTTGCAGGCAAATGAGATGGTTCTACGCCGGGGAGATCCGCTATCGCCTTTCCTCGTCCTAATTACGCCCACTCTCGCGCGCTAATTTCGTTAGACGCGAACGATGGTTCGAAGCTCCGCCCGTTTCGTCTCGCGGTTTCTCGCAAGTCCCATTTGCTCGAAAGAAACGCGAGACTCTGGATCTCGCCGCCCGCCGACTTCTCCGACCATTATAACGCGCCAAAGTACTCCGACAAAATCGCCGGACGCGCGTCAAAATACCGCCTTCGCCGAAAACGTTCCACTCCGACGTCTCGCTGTTCCCTGGAAATTGCTTTCACGGTGTTCGAGGCCGGGAAGAGTCGAGCGAATATCGCCGAAAATACGCCCGAAGAAAAGGTCGACGGGTGCGAATAACGTTCGTTCGAAACGGAAATAAATGTTAGAAATGGAACGAAAGCGAATCAAATTATGAAAATTGCTGCGCGATTGGAACGGCGGCTTGTCGCGGGCGGCGCGACGCGTCGCAGCGTTCGGTCGCGCTTTGCTCGCGCCAGCGGTGGCTTTAAATAATCGCGAAATTATTTGGCCGATCGATCGTCGGATCCCAGAAAGTTGTCGCCGCCCGGTCCGCGCCGCGATTCGGGTCGCTCGAGCTACGACGTTTCTCCGGCCCGTCGCCGCCCCCTTTCTCGATACCAGTGTTCGAATTTATTCGAACGCGAGGGGGCCCTCCGGCTCGTCGCAACGGATGCGCGTTCCGAAGTCGACGAAACGTCTGTAATTTCCGGCCACTATCGATCCTCGCGCTTCTCCCGACGACGATAGGGTTCGGAAGAACGCCAGACTCGGGGATCCCGTATTCGACCGCGAAATTTCATGCGGTCGTTCGACGACGGAAAATTGGATCGCCGTTACGGGACTTTGCGACTACATCGTTAAAATCGATTGTTCGCGACTCGAGGACTCGAGGACTCGAGGCCCGGTCTCGTTTCAATTTCTTCGACCGCGCGCGACTCGTCGCGATTCTCTCCGTTGTCGTTTTTCCGCAGGGCCGCGCGTGCTCGACGAAAAACGTCGACTCCTCTCTTTCGATCCATCGAACGTCCAACGTTCCAATCGACCAGAATACATTTTCAAACGATTCCCGAAATGAAATTAGTTTTCGTCGCGGTAATTCTACGATCCGAATCGATCGTCCGTCGATCGGGGCGGATAGATCCGACGGATCGCGTTCGACCGGGGTATCGGGAGAGATCGAATATTTCGATCGAGAAGAGCGATCGTTCGGGGGCACGGGGACCGATTATCGGCTGTCGAGCGACGCGACGACGAGAGGATTCCGCGGCGGAAACGGGCTGTCTGCGCGCGAGAGGATTCGAGCCGAGCCGAGGCGAGGTGTCCAATTATCAAGGAATTAGTTACAGTCAACGTTGGCGCGCAATTTGACGGTGATTGTCATAGCCGTGGCCGTAGCCGTGGCTCGTCTCTCGGCTCTCGGCTTCGCTCGATCGTCGGTCGAGCGAGAACGCGCGCGCGTGCAATCTGCAACCTACAACCTGCGACTCGACTCGCTTTCCGACGGTGACGCGTTGCATGCGCGCCGCATATAGATGCGCGCGTTAAGCCGACTGCCGACCGAACTGCCGATAGAACTTGTCCAAGTTGCAGCGAGCGGTGTGTTGCGCTCTCCTTACGTGTACCGGCTGCTCGAATTTCGCATTGGATTCAGCGGAATAGTTGCCGCGAGGAAGTTTCCAGTCGATCCCGTATACCCGCGTCGGATCAACGCCGCTGCTCCGTCCGGAATTTCGCAACTACGCTTTCGCCCCCGGGAGAACGCGAGACGCTGCGCCGATACCGAGCGACGTTTTCCGCAGTGCAGAACTCGTTTGCCCGGGCGTACACGCGTCCGACAACCGCGACGATATTCCGTTTTGCGCGGAGACGACGCGACGCCACGCGACGCCACGCGACGCCCGATTGCTCGTCTCGCGCGCCAGCTGTTCACCCAAGAACGAGAATGCTCCGCTTCGAAATGTCCTGTTCGTTTCTTCGATCGCTTCCGCTTCCACGCATCCGTTCCATTTCTTGCCCAACGTTGTCCCGTTCGCGTAGGCGAACGACCGTTTCCACCGCGCGAACAGGTTTACGGACTCGAGAAGTTGTTCGTACTTTCAGAATTTTCAACGGATCTCTGGTTTTTCCATAGTTTCGTTGAAACTTTGATTTTTCTTTTCTTCCTTGCTCGATCGTCCACAGCGGAACCAACGCCCGCTTACGGGATGGTAAACGCGCGCAGCGGTTCGCCAAGAATATTCTCTCGGAGTAGAATATTCTCTTTCGCGATCGGCCGGACAAAGGACGAAAGCCTGCGAGAATCGTCGACCGCTGCTTCCCGCATTCTATCGCAACGACCCTAATCTCCGCCGAAGACTCCGTTATCCTTCGCAAAACTTGGGCGCCGCATCGAGGAATCTAAAACCGATACCGACTCGCAAATTGTCGTCCCTTTGGCATCGCGCCGGTCTCTCCGAGACACCCGTCGACCAAATTTCTCGAAAGAGAGAGCCCCCTGTAACGGAACGCGGTTCTTGTCGGCAGCCGACCGGGCGACGAAATCCGGAGAGCGATAACCTTGGAAGCGAATGGGACGGGTCCTCGTCGCGCGGACCGTGCCGATTCTCGGAAACACCGAGACCCCGTAGCGATCCGCATCGAATAAAACGATCGTTTAGCGTTAAAGGATGTGAGCGGTTCCGGAAGAGCGCCGTCGCCTTTTCTCGCGGAGCATGCGCGTGGATCCGCCATCGACGAACGGACTGCTACCGGAATAGAGAATGGAGAATGGAGAATAGAGAATAGAGAATAGAGAATAGAGAATAGAGAACAGAGAACAGAGAATAGAGAGAATAGAACGACGATCGCTGGAAAATCGGTCGCGTCGAGTCTCTATCGTCGAAACGACCGGCCGCGCGGGGCCGAGGTTCGGCGCATGCAAGATTTAAAGCGAAGCGAACCAGCGTTTCGCGCGAACGATACTCGTTCCGCGCGAGCTGCCGCCTGTCGCCCGCCGCCGATTTTATGGACCGCTTTTCTATTCGGCGCCGCTCGAGGTTCGAAATTTCGAACGAAGAGATTGGATTGTTAACGCTCGCGCCAGCGGAACGGTTGCCGGCAGATTAAACGGCGGTCCGTCGCCTTTTCATGAATTTTTCGAGATCGCCGGCTGTGGAACGGGACGGTCGGAGGGGCTCCATCGAGTGGAAATGTTCGAGAAATTACGATCGATCATGTCCACCGTCTTTTTTTCCCGTTAACGCCTGCAAAGTTCGTCGCGTCGACGGAGTTTCCACGGCCGACATCCGAACGTTGCCATCGCCGTGGGTCCGCTATTAGCATCGGCGCTATTTTACCTCTCGTATATCGAACGTACGATTCTTTAACGCCGATCGACGCTCGGTCTAGCGGACTTTAACGAGCACCGAAATTACCCGCCATCGTAAAACTCCGAATCTTGTTCTCGCGAGCAGCATCGCTAGCGATTCGAAAGAAACGCGAGACGCTGGTCGGCGGTGCGCGAGCAACGATCCATCGATCGATTCGTTTACCGTATTTTAATCGAATTTCGCAAACGACTGCGAGATCAGCTCGGTAAAGATTTTTGGCTAATGAAAACGCGAGCGAATACGAAATTCTTTCGGACGACGGTCGTTTCAACGCGGCGACAAATCGAGCGACCGGAAGCGCGTAATCGGACCGAAACGCGAAATTAAAGCCGGCATAACATTACGGATTGCTATACGGAGCCGATAACCTACGATATTATCGAGACCACGTCCGCGTTGCTCGGCCAATATTTGCATATTTTCGCCGTCGCGTCGCTAAAATATTAACAATGCCCATAAAGAAGTTTATCGCGCGGCCGGAACGGCGGTCAGCCGTTTGCGTTTCGTAATTTTCGGAAGCTGTTATTCCTATCCGCTACCGCGCCGTGCCGGGCCGGGCCGAGCCGCACCGACAAAACTGCTCGTCATCAAAATTAAAGATCCGTTTACATTTGCTTCGGTTAGTCGAAAAATAGACGGGGATTAACGGCGGCAGGCACGGCAGGGGAGGCAGATTTTCGCTCAATTTCTCGTCGCGCGACCGATCCGTTTCCCGGTCGTGCAACAAGGTTCGATGCCAGCCAATTCCCGCGATTTCGCATTCTCGGAGTCGCGTAGTTGGCGAACGCGTAATCGATATGCCAGCCGCGACATTAGAAATATCGCGCAAAGTCGGACAGCGTTTCAATTATCCCAGCTAATTGTATCGCTTCCGTGCCGCGTCGTTTCAACTCGAACCGGCGGTGACCCGGACACCTGGAATTATTCCGAATCTCGGTAACGACGTATCCGCTTGCGATGATTCGGCCGAGATCGTTTACGAATCGCGATTTTTCACGGTTTCGCAACGTTTCGCAACGTTTCGCGTTTTCGAAACGACCGACGGAGTCGACGACGAAGCGTTTGCCAACAAACGGGAACGAACTGCGAGTCGTAAAAATTCACGCGAGCAGTTCGGAAAACAAACGAAAAACTCGACGACTTCCGAAAGAACCGCGCCGAACCGAAAATCCTACGAAATCCCAATTAGGACAAAAACCACCGAAAAGTCGCTGCCGGTCGCGACGCGGACTTCCATCGAGGCCTACGCTCCGACGAAAAAACGATCGTTTTCGTCTAAAACCTAAAGTCTAAGCGTCGGGCTCGCGTTTCGTGCTCGTTATAATTGCGCAGAGGCCGTGTAAGCCGGATAACGCGAGCGTTGCGCGATACGAGCGACCAAGTAACGAGCGGAATTGTAGAGTTCGGCGGCGTTTTGCCGGGCCAATTAGCCGATTTCTGAATTCGATTGACGCGGGTTCGGCGATTTGGGAAGTGGATCGGGAGCCGAAAGAGCCGCGAGAGGAGCGTCCATCGGCGGATCGAGGGCTCGATCGAGACCGGGAACCTTCGACGACAGCGACGATACGTTGCTTCGCGGGAATCGAGATCGCAAACGCGGAATCGAATCGACGAATTCGCGACCAGGTTTGCCGACGATTACCCCGGTTCGACGGTGTTTCGGCTCGGCTCGGCTCGGCTCGGCTCGGCTCGGCTCGGTTCGGCTCGGCTCGAATCGAATCGAATCGATTTCGATCATAAACAGAGAGACTGCCGCGGCGGCGGAAGAAAGCTTCGTGTAAACAGCGATTTAATTCGATTCGGTAATTTTCGACGACGGGATTAATTGGAATCGAATTCGATTAATGGGAATCGTGCTGGCCGGCGTTGAAAGCGGAATCGACGCCGTACGAATTGATGGGAGCGCGCCGGACCACGTCGGCGGCCTACGCTCGATTATACCCACCCGAGTTTTATTCGTTTCGGTGTCAAACGTACTTTTAACGAGGCCGCGCATCGACAAAAGGGACCATTTTCGGCCGCGATAATTATCCCCGCGAAAATGTTTTCTCCGATCGAGAACCGCGTTTAATGAACCAGAAGACGATGCCGCCTTTGAAGCCGCGAAAAGTTCGACGAACGAATAGCAAATGTACGCGCGTTTTATTCCGATAAAACTCAAAGTTGACGAGAAGAGGAAGGATTTTTTCTCGAATCCGACGAATATAATCATCGGTACGATTACGCAACGCGTGCAACGTCCTGCCCTCGCGTGTAAACTATCGCGTATATCGCTTCCAGCCCGTTTACCAATAAATAATAATAGTAATAATAATAATAATAATAATAATAACATTTCGTTGTGCCGAACGGTGAAATTTTCTTGCATCGCTGATCCACAATTGCCTCGAATGTAACATGAAATAGACGCGTTATTTTCCATGTCGCAAATAATTAATCGACCGAACCACCAAACTGCGAGCTACGCGCGTTTCGGAGGATTATATGCGGAATGAAAATGTTCTCCGGAAATTACGATAAACGGTAACCAGATTTTTGTCTTCGGTCGTTTCTCTCTCTCGGTTTTCGACGCGCGGAATATCGATTCGCCGAAAGCGATCGTCGCGAGTTTCGATCGCGGCCAGAGAAAAAAAGACAAATTCGATGTCCCGGCGGGCATCGCGACGATGAAACCGTTGTTTAAAACAAACGGGAGCGGGGTACGGGGCCGTGTCCACCTCGCGCTCGCCGGAGTTGCCGAACAATTATTAGCCCATTATGCCAGCGATCCATTAATTACTCGTGCTAAATCATAAATTTACCCGCGTAATTAACGCGCGCCCGCGCGCGCTCTGCCAGGTATTCGAGGGAGAAAACGCAAGAAGCGGGCGGTCGGGCAAAGTGGATCGGACGCCGGAAAAGTTGCGCCGCCTTAAATCCGGGGTAAATGAATAATTACGAGAATGCGAAGGGTTTCCGTTGGCTCTCGCGTAACGAAGGGACGCGAGACCCGTGGCTGTGCT